AGAGCGCGGGCGATGGCGTGACGACGCGATCGACGCGCGCTTTGGTATTCGACCACACTTTATAGTTTGTATTAACAGCGTAGACGACTGAATATCCTTTGTGCTGGAGGTCTTAAAGGTTGCGATGAGAAGTGGGTGTGCGCTCGTATCGTGACTCTCGTCGTCATTCAAACGTGATGCCGTGCTCGTCTAGTTCACGCCGCCGATTGGGTGAGTCTGCGGAGGTAATCTGCCGCGATAACGTCGCCCTTCTCCGCGGCTTTCGTGTACCACTCGATGGCCTTGGAGATGTCTTTTATCACGCCGTGGCCGCGTTCGTAGAGGAGCCCAAGGTTGATTTCCGCGTCAGTGCAGCCTTGAGCGGCCGATTTAGTGTGCCACTTTAACGCCTCCTCGTATCGTCTGTTCAGGAAGTGACAGCTGCCAACACGGTTTTGTGCATCGGCGTTTCCTTTCGCGGCTGCCTTCTCGTTGTATTGCAACGCCGTGTCGACGTTTTGCTCCACGCCGATGCCGTGAATGTAGACGTACCCTAACATCCTCTCACACTCAGTGTTGCCAAGCCGTGCACCCTTCTGATACCACTCCAGCATCTTAGGGCTGAACTCGAGCGCGGCCGGCTGCGCAGACACGACTTTCGACGCCCTGCGCCACACGGAGCTCACCTGGGAGAGGGCGACGCGCGTTCGGACGTCGTTCACGTGCGAGAAGACCACGCTCGCGAGTTGCTCGTTGACGTCGAACGTCGGTGTCATTGATTTTACGACATCGGTGAGCTCGGCGAGCGCCCTCCGCGTCGCCGTGAGCTCCGTCCGCGTCGCCGTGAGCTCCGCTCGCGTCTCCACGTGCTCCTCCCTGACGCGTTTGAGTTCTTCTTCTTGCTTTTCGAACCGCGTTAAAAGGAGGCGAACGCCCGGGGAGACGTCGTCGTCGTCGTCGACGTCGACGCTCGGCGCTTCGCGCGCGGGCGGATCAACACGACGGCGCTTAGATTCTTTGATCATGACGTCCTCGATCGATCTTGTACGTGCGGCGGCGCGAGAGGAACTGGCGCGGGGACGGGGTCGTCCCCTCCGAGAAAATATTACGGCGGGGACTGGACGGACGACCTTCAGCCAACAGAACTCGACACGTCGACGCACTTTTCCGACACGCGCGCCAGCCGCCGCGACGCGCCGCGCCGCGACGCGACTCGACCCGCCGCCGCGTCCGCCAGCGATGCCGCGCATCCTCCCCCCCGTCGCCGTCGTCGACACCCCCGAGGTCTCCATCACCGAGTTCGCGGGCAACGGCAGCAGCGGACAGTCCGCGATCTCGATCGCGCGCGTCGTCGCGAGAGGCGGATGGGCGGAGCCGTGGCAGACCCCGGAGTTCGACGAGTGGGTCGTCGTGACTAAGGGCGAGGTGCACATCGAGCACGGTCACGGCGCGACGGTGAAAGTCGTCGCGGGGCAGGGCGTGTATCTCGCCAAGGGCGAGCGCGTGCGATGGGTGTTCCCGGAGGGCGACGACGGGTGCGAGTACGTGCCGATCTGTCTGCCGGGGTTCACCCCGGACAACGTGCACCGCGAGGACGACCCGAAGGTCTCTCCGCCGATCCACGATAAACACGTGTGCGTGTATCACATGGCGCAAACGCACGAGTGGGAGAAGGCAAAGGCGAGCGAGACGAGGGCGTACTACCCGCCGACGTACGCGACGGACGGGTTCGTGCACTGCACCGCGGATCCGAAATACCTCCTCACGATCGGTAACCACTTTTACAAGGACACGAGAGACCCGAACGACCCGGAAACGCCTTCGAAGTGGACGTTACTGAAGATGACGCGGCAGAGCATCGAGGCCAAGAAGCTGGACTTGAAGTTCGAGCCGCCCGCGCCGGTGGGGGACGCGAAGACGATGGACGACGGCGAGCTCGGGAACGAGTGGTTCCCGCATCTCTACGCGGGGATCCCGACGGACGGCGGCGTCGTCGTGGAACAGTTCGAGATCACCAGAGACGCGGACGGGTCGTTCACGGGGATCGTGGGGATGTGAGTCGCGCCTTCGCGCACAACAACACCGAAACTAAAATCCTTCTCGTATACACCCTCCCCGGCCGCGCCATCCCCCACCCCCTCTGCTTCTTCTCGCTCACCCGAGCCACTCCTCGATCGTCGCCTTCGGC